CCTCGTCCTTGTGGGTCTCGTGCTGTGGCGGGGGCAGCCGCCGGAAGGCAGTGAGCACGCAGCGCACTTACCACGCACAAGCAGGTGCAGCATCCTACGAGACTCAGCGTCAGGTCTGTCGGCAGTGGCGCCCGCCCATCTCGGCTGGAGAGTCACTGTAGTGTCTCTCAGAGGTTACCACTCCCTCTCCCCCCTCCCCCCTGCTCTTGAACCCCGCCAGTCAAGATCTCTTCCTCCGCCAGGCTGTCAGATCCGCTTCTGTCAAGCTTAGCCGTGGTGCCTTGAACGCGAATGGCCGTCTCCCAGCTCCTATCTTAGTGGGCTTGCCGGGCTCCAACCCAGGGGGCCAGTCCTGGAGCCCGAGCCTTACCTGTCCCTCACACAGGGCGCTGCTTTGTGTAACAATGCCACATCAACCAAGGAGAAGGCAGACCCCACGCCCGGCTCCCAGGCATCGCCAAAGCTTGGGGAGCAGTCACCGGTCTGGGGACCCCCCAAGGTGGAATCAGCCCTGCGGCTCTTCCTCTGCTTTTCCATCTGGGTTGTTGGTGGCCCCCACCGTGTCCTGCTCCACATCAGCCCTCTCTGGGAACCAGTGGCCGAAAACAGAGAGGGCCCGGCCACCCGCAGGGTAGGAGGAGTCACAGGGCACAAGGGCGCATGTTATTCTGCCTTTCGCCCACGTGGTAGCACCCCCTTCCTTCTTTGTGGTATTCCACCGGTGGGGCCATGGGCTGCTCCTGGCTGGGGCTATGTGGATACACGCGGTCCCTTTTCCTAACTGCTCCAGAGTGAGGCTGACAACCCCTGTGCAAGGCGTGCATTTAGCTTCGAAAGACGCTGCAAGGGTGGCTCTGGGGCTGGAGTGTGGGGGAGAAGAGGAAGGGAGGCCAGAAACCTCACCTGCCCCGCACTCCCCCTGACAGCCATGGGCCCTGTGACATCGCCCGGAGGCAGTGCGGTGGTCTCCAACCGCACCCCTACCCCAGGCTCTGCACTCCCAGATCTGGTCTCCACCCGCACCCCCACCCCAGGCTCTGCACTCCCAGATCTGGTCTCCACCCGCACCCCTACCCCAGGCTCTGCACTCCCAGATCTGGTCTCCCACCTCCACCCCCACCCCAGGCTCTGCACTCCCAGATCTGGTCTCCCACCCCCCACCCCCCACCCCAGCCTCTGCACTCCCAGATCTGGTCTCCCACCCCCCACCCCCCACCCCAGGCTCTGCACTCCCAGATCTGGTCTCCACCCCCCACCCCACCCCCACCCCAGGCTCTGCACTCCCAGATCTGGTCTCCCACCCCCACCCCAGGCTCTGCACTCCCAGATCTGGTCTCCCACCCCCACCCCCCACCCCAGGCTCTGCACTCCAGATCTGGTCTCCCACCCCCCACGCCCCACCCCAGGCTCTGCACTCCCAGATCTGGTCTCCCCCCCCCACCCCCACCCCAGGCTCTGCACTCCCAGATCTGGTCTCCCACCCCCCCACCCCCCACCCCAGGCTCTGCACTCCCAGATCTGGTCTCCCACCCCCCACCCCCCACCCCAGGCTCTGCACTCCCAGATCTGGTCTCCCACCCCCTACCCCCCACCCCAGGCTCTGCACTCCCAGATCTGGTCTCCACCCCCCACCCCACCCCCACCCCAGGCTCTGCACTCCCAGATCTGGTCTCCCACCCCCACCCCAGGCTCTGCACTCCCAGATCTGGTCTCCCACCCCCACCCCCCACCCCAGGCTCTGCACTCCCAGATCTGGTCTCCACCCGCACCCCACCCCAGGCTCTGCACTCCCAGATCTGGTCTCCCATCCCCCATCCCCTACCCCGGTCTCTGCACTCCCAGATCTGGTCTCCCACCCCCTACCCCCCACCCCAGGCTCTGCACTCCCAGATCTGGTCTCCCACCCCCACCCCCACCCCAGGCTCTGCACTCCCAGATCTGGTCTCCCCCCCCCCACCCCCCACCCCAGGCTCTGCACTCCCAGATCTGGTCTCCCACCCCCCACCCCCCCACCCCCCACCCCAGGCTCTGCACTCCTCAGACCGCTGCCCACTGACGTATGCATACACTCAGCCCACGCTCGCTCCTGCTCCCAGGCCCACCTGCGGCCCCACCTAGCAGAGACCCTGTGCCCCGCAGCCCCTGGGAAGCTTATTAAAAGCCCACCCAGCAAGGGAGGCCGCACACAGCCACCGTGCCGCCGCCGAGCGCTGCCATAGCAACACACCAGACGCTGGAGACTTCCAAGGCCGAGGAACAGGGTGGTGCACTCTGGGAGAAGTAGGCACGATGGGGCTGCAAAGGGCTGCTGGGAGTCGTAGGCCAAACGGGCTGTTGCATGGGATTCTGGGAATTGTAGGCAAGGCAGCCCCAGGACCTTGCGGGAGTCGTAGTCCCAGAGTCACTTCCGTGGCAGGCAAAGTCTGGACGGCCCAGCTCTGCGTTCAGTCCAGATTATTTCCAACTGCGGTGGGTCGGCCCACACCGGAGCTCTTTGTGGCGGGACGTGGGAGGGTTGAGGGTCTCTCTGGAGGTGGGGAGACTTCCCCACTCCTGTATTCCAGATGCCTTGTGGCCACTTCAGACACTGCAGTCCAGCCCCTTGCCCGGCCACCCCCTCTCCCCAGGACGGGGCGCAACCACCTGCCTGCCCTGCGCCCCCCCAGCTGATACACCAGGAGGACCCTGCTCAGTCCCAGGACCTCATCTTGACGGCAAGATGTCACTGCCCATCTCCGCGACAAGGGCGCCACACAGAGGTGTCCCGGGGACCCCTGGCTTGAGTTCTGGGCACACCCAGGATGCCCTCACCCAACAGAGACTGAACACGACTCTGTGCAAGGCGGCGGGGTGGGGGGGCACGGAGAGCCAGACCTGGCACAGTGACAGCGGAGAGCCAGGGTGGGGACAGCAGTGGAAGCTGGGCCCAGCCAGATGGAATTCCTCGTCCTCACTCGGCGGCCCTGCCGTCTTCCTGGGTGTCTGACCTCAGAACCGGATGGCATCCCTCACCCCCCACTCCCTCAAGGGGGACCGACCCCTGCTCCCCAGGACTGGCTGGGTGAGAGCGAGGAGCACGCGGTGGCCTTGGGCTGTCCTGCAGAAGCACTGGACAACGGCTCTGGCGAAACAGAGCAGAGCTGGGCCAGAATGGGGGTCTGCAGTCATGGGCCGAATGGTGCCTTTGGGGGGGCCTCCGTGGGGGGGGGGCACGTGGAGGACCAGCCTGGGTGGACAGCTGAATGTCGTGGGTCGGAGCCACTCGCGAGGAGAATGAAGAGAGTGCTGGGCACAACCTGAGCACAGGAAGATTTCCCGAACATGGACAGAGCAGGAGAGCAGAGGGGGACCGGGTGCGGGCTCAGCCGGGACGGGTGTGCCTGGGGGTCACCACCGGGGCTGCCTGCTGGGAGGGGCACGGAGCCAACGACACCTGGGCGCAGGCGTGTGCCCTGGCCGAAGGGGCGGGGTCAGAAGAAAAAGGTGCCCGAGCACTGGGCCTCCTTGGCCGCTGGCATTTACCAAAGGGAGCAGATCCACGGCAGGGTGTTAAGATTCTGGGCAGGATCCTGCTGGCCGGTAGGTGGGGCGAGCAGGGAGACCAGTGAGGAGCGAGATGGCCAGCCAGGGCGCCAACTGTGGAGATGCAGGGTGTCCAGCTTCTGACGCTACCAGCAGGACTGGCTGCATTCCAAGGGAGCACCTGGGACCCACGGGAGCACCTGGGACCCGTGGGAGCACCTGCGACCCACGGGAACACCCGGGACCCATGGGAGCACCCGGGATCCATGGGAGCACCCGGGACCCACGGGAGCACCTGGGATCCATGGGAGCACCCAGGGCCCATGGGAGCACCCAGGGCCCACGGGAGCACCTGGGACCCACGGGAGCATCTGGGGTCCACGGGAGCACCTGGGATCCATGGGAGCACCCAGGACCCATGGGAGCATCCGGGATTTGGGGGGTTGAGCACTCCCCAGGGGGGCGTTGGGAGAAACAGTGTGGAAGAGTGACAAGAATGGGGAGAGGAGGTGTCCTGGGCGCCAGGGGCTTCCGGCTGGAGCTGCTGGAAGGGTGGCCTGCTGTCTGGCTGCAGAGAGCAGGAATTCGGGTTGTGAGAGGCCCGGGAGTGCCTGATGCTGCTCCTGCCCCCCGGGGAGTTGGATGGTAAATACACACTCATCCCACAGCTCCACACGTTGGCAGCCTGACCGGACGGCTTCCCAGCCAACACTGGAGATGCTGTGGCGTGGGGAGGGGGGAGCCACTCCAGGTGAGATTCTGTGGGTGCGCCAGGCAGGCGGGGCTGACCACGGCAGGGCCAGCATCGCTGAGGCAGAAGAGATAACAAAAGGGGTCGTGTTTAGGATGATCCCGCCTTAATGAGCCACAGGAGCCTGGGGGCCAGAAGGACTCTGATACCCCAGCAGGACTGAGCCCAATCCTGGAGCCCCCACGCCCACCAGCTGGTCTTGCAGAGGTGCAATCCAGGCTGCCTCTGTGTCTCCCTGGAGGAGGCGCCCCCCCCTGCTCTGAGGCTGCATTCAGACCCACCCCTGGGCGGTATCCCACCCTCGAAGCAAAGCCTTTCATTTGCTCACCGCCGCCGGCCACGGCCGCAGTCCCCGGCCTCCCTCTGTCTCCAGAGTTGGCGACACGGCCCCCACACCCAAAGCTCCTGAACAGCCCGGGCGGCCCAGGCCAATGCCAGGCACTTTGTCTCTCTGGAGGCCATGCACCTGCTGCCCCCTCATCCCCGGGCACAGGACACGGCCTCTCCGGATGTAACCTGCTCGTCTCTCCTCCTCTGATACCTGCTCTTCAGGCTTCTCCTCGGTGCATAGCGAGTGTTAAGTCTCCCCGGAGGCGGCGGCTTGCTCGTGCTAGACCCCGCGGGTCCCCCTCCGGGTTCCTCCCCCCGCAGAAGCCCCTCGGCCCGCGCACCCGTCCCTGGCCTCGCGCGCGCAGGGCCGCTCCGTAGAACCCACGCGTGACCCGCCTCTCCCCTCTCCGCCCAGCACAGGCCGCCCGCGTGATGCCCGCCCCGCCGTGCGCCTCCTGCGGCAAGGCCCGCGCCGCGCTCCGACGCCCGCGCTCCGGGCAGGCGCTGTGCGGCGCCTGCTTCTGCACCGCCTTCGAGGCCGAGGTGCTGCGCACGGTGCTCGCGGGCCGCCTGCTGCCACCGGGCGCCGTGATGGCCGTGGGCGCCTCCGGGGGCAAGGACTCCACCGTGCTCGCGCACGTGCTGCGCGCCCTCGCGCCGCGCCTGGGCCTCGCGCTGCACCTCGTGGCCGTGGACGAGGGCATCGGCGGCTACCTGGACGCGGCGCTGGCGGCCGTGCGGCGCCAGGCGGCGCGCTGGGAGCTGCCGCTCACCGTCGTGGCCTACGCGGACCTCTTCGGCGGCTGGACCATGGACGCCGTGGCCCGCAGCACGGCCGGCTCGGGCCGCAGCCGCTCCTGCTGCACCTTCTGCGGGGTGCTGCGGCGCCGAGCGCTGGAGGAGGGCGCGCGCCGCGTGGGAGCCACGCACATCGTGACGGGTGAGCGCATGCGCAGGCGGGGGCGGGCCCTGAGATGGGGCGCAGGGCGCATGCCCGGGACCTGGAAAAGGAGACCGCGGCCCGGGCGCGAAGGGCGGAGCCGGGTGGGAGTCGGGCATCTGCGCATGCTCCACCTTGGACTGCCGCACCCTGAGGGTTCGTGTTGCTGGGGACAGGATGGGGCCAGGCGAGGTGTCCAAAGGCTTGGATGTTGGCCACACAGATTGGCAAAGGAGGAAAGATAGGGCGAAAGTGAGTCTCTGGGAGGTAAGTCTTGGGCCTTTTGTTTGTTTTTAGCCGCTTCTCATCTTCTTAAATCTCATGGTCCACCTTTTAGAATCCATCCCTACCTCTGAAAACTACTGCTGGCTCTTAACTTGTTTCTTTTTCTTTTTAAAGATTTATTTTATTTACTTGAAGACAGAGTTACAGAGAGAGGTAGAGCCAGAGATAGAAAAGACTTCCATTCTGCTGGCTCACTCCCCATATGACTGCAATGGCCAGAACTGAGCTGATCCGAAGCCAGGAGCCAGGAGCTTCTTCCCAGTTTCTCACGCAGGTGCAGGGGCCCAGGACTTGGGTCATCTTCCACTGCTTTCCCAGGCCACAGCAGAGAGCCTCTCCTACCTTTGGTAATTTTTTAGTGTCTCTCTCTCCCTCTCATCCATTCCTTCAACACAGGCTGAGTTTCTACTGGCCACATCGCATTTCTTAACCTCTCTGTACTTGTGTTTCTCATCCCTAAAGTTCATGGTACCTACCTCAGAACCTGTTATGACCATTGGATGAGTTAGTAGAAGTGTGTGTGTGTGCGTGATTTTATATGCAGGCATCATATGTATCTATAACCAGAACATATTACATATCATATATGACATATGTGCTATTATCGTCATCATTAGGCTAGGGCTGAGAATATACACATCCCTACCTTCACACTGTTTTCAAATATAAAATTATAAATGATCATAAATATCGCTGAAGAAAATTCTACGGGCTCTGTATTCCAAAAGAGGGCCTTGTGACAGGGAGGGCGCTTCGGCCAGGCATGCATTTCGAGTTCCGCAGGCTTGAGACGGAGCTGGCGAAGACTGGCAGCGGCGTGCTCCAAGCAGAAGCGCCGACCTGGGCAAGCCCATTGTGAGGTGCTCCACCAAGTCCAGCGGGGCTGCAGCCCGGAGCCCAAGTTCAAGAGCTCGCGCTCCAGGCGGTGGGGGAAGCAGTGGAAGCAACCTGGATACAGTTTCACTTAGTGACGCTCTCCCTGGCCCCTCTGTGGAACCTGGGTCCCGGAGCAAGGACAGAGCCTTGGAGACCACTTAGGAGGGAGGTCCCCATGATCCTCTGGGAGAGAGATGACGGATTCAGGGAGCCCTGGAGGGTGTGGAGGGGAAGGTGCCCCCGGGTCTCTGTCCTGTGCCGCCACAGCAGGATGGACTCTGGGGAGGGCATGGCGGGCTCCATCCACTGGTGTGGCTTCTTCCTTACTCGGCCACCTGGGGCTAATCCCTGGGGCTCTGGGAGCCTTCGCTGCTTCTTGTGGGAAGAAGAACCCTCGCGCACAGAGCAGTCTGGACGGACGAGATTCTTTTAAAATGAATTTGTTGAATCACTAATTGTACTTGTAAAACTAATGACAGCGTCAAGAAAAGTCCTCAACTTGTAAAAGTTTTTTTTCCCCCTTTGTTTATACGCTCTATTTTCCGAGGCGTTTTGTAGCAATTACGGTAATTACCACACTCCTAAGTGGGTTCGTAATGATGAGGTGTGGAGCAAACTCAGGCCCCTGTGAGTAATGCGGTTTACAACGGCGAAGCCAGCAGCCCGTCGACAATAAACATTTAACAGGGTTCCAGGAGCAGAGGTCACCGACCTCGGCAGATCCTTGGAAAGTCACAATGACTAGAGACGAAGCTGGAACGGAGGTGAAGACGGCCTTTCCCACGGGGCCCGGGTTGCTCCGCCTCAGCCCCGTTGGTATTCGGTGGTCAGATAACTGTGGTCTAGGAGTGTGCGGCCCACTGCGGGGCTGTCCCCACGTCCCTGGCCTCTCCCCACTGGACGCTGGTCCTGTCCCCCCAGCCCCAGCTGGGACAAGCACAAATGCCTCCGGACACTGCCACACGTCGCTGGCGGGTAGGAGGGGGCCAGACGGCCCTTGGTTGGGGTCCGCAGGTACACGGAGGTGCTCCTGTAGGGGCCCACGTGACTTGTGTGTGTGCAGTGGGAATTTTTTGCAGCTTTACCTGAGTCTGCAAAGGTTATTGGCTACGTCTAGTATGCAGTGGGTGGGTGGCCAAGGAGGTACCCCACCCCCACCCCGCACCGCCAAGAAGCCCCTGCGGGCTCCCATGAGCGGCGCGCCCCCGACTTCCACCTGTCCCCCACGTCTCTGGGCCCCCGCCGCCCCCATCCCACCGTCTCTTCCCCTCCGCAGGCCACAACGCGGACGACATGGCCGAGACGGTGCTCATGAACTTCCTGCGCGGCGACGCGGCGCGGCTGGCCCGCGGCGGGGGCCTGGGCTCGCGGGGCGAGGGGGGCGCCCTGCCGCGCTGCCGCCCGCTGCAGCTGGCCTCGCAGAAGGAGGTGGTGCTGTACGCGCACTTCCGCCGCCTCGACTACTTCTCCGAGGAGTGCGTGTACGCGCCCGAGGCCTTCCGCGGCCACGCGCGCGACCTGCTCCAGCGCCTGGAGGCGGCGCGGCCGTCCGTGGTGCTGGACCTGGTGCACTCGGCCGAGCGCCTGGCGCTGGCCCCGGCCGCGCGGCCCCCGCGCCCCGGCGCCTGCTCCCGCTGCGGGGCCCTGGCCAGCCGCGCGCTCTGCCAGGCCTGCGCGCTCCTGGACGGCCTGAACCGCGGCCGGCCCCGCCTGGCCATCGGCAAGGGCCGCCGCGGGCTGCACGAGGAGGGGGCCCAGGGGGCGCCGGGGGACGCAGAGCCGGGTGTGGAGGGGGCCCAGGGGGCGTCGGGGGACGAAGAGAGGGACGAGGAGGGGGCCCAGGGGGCACCGCGGGAGCGCGAGAGGAATGTGGAGGGGGCCCAGGGGTCGTCGGGGGAGCACGAGGGGGATGTGGAGGGGACCCAGGGGGCGCCGGAGGACGAGGAGGGGGCCCAGGGGCGGCCGGGGGACGCAGAGGGGGCCCCGTCCTCCTGTGACTGCGGGGCCTCCGGGGTCGGGGCTGCCTGTGACTGCGAATAAACCTGAGTTACCTGCGCCCGGGCCTCCCAGCTGGGGTTGGGAGGGGGACGGGGAACCAGCGACCTGGGACCCTGTAGCAGCTGCGCCCCAGACCCGGGCGGGTCAGCCAGCTCATGGCCAGCTCCCACCAGGCCCTCCACCCCTCCCTGGGTCTCCCCAGCGTCTGTGCCACAGGCGGGGGAAGCCGGATGCGCTCCCAGAACCTGGGGCTGTGAAGGTGGGGCTGGGTGAGTCTCCTGCGACCTCCCGCCTTCTCCCACGAAGACGGCGCCGCGCCCTCACCCGCGTGGCACCCCTGGCTCACTCGAAGCACTCTTGGGAGAAAATGGAACTGCTAAGTGACTCCGCCCACCCACCTGTCCAGTGGCTCCTGGGAGGGTTGGCCCACTGGGAGGCTGTCCGGGGTTTCCACGGTGCAGGCTGCCGAGACAGTGAGGCCCCCTTGCTTCCTGGGGAGCTGGGCTGAGGGGCTCCTCCCTCCCCCAGCGTCCTGCCCACACCCTCGGGGGTCCTTATCAGGGCAGGAAGCTGGACACACCTGAGCAGAGACCCGCAGGAAGCCAAATAAGAAACCGTGCAGGTGGGGGAGAGCTTGGCAAGTGTGGCCCGGCATGGCCAGCAGGAAGAGGAAGGGCCGGGGCCAGACACAGGTCTGCGGGGCCTTAGGCAGCCGACAGGGACTTGGGTTTTATTCTTAAGAGTGGTGGTGCCTCTTTTAGAGGGGGTTGGTCCCCAGAGCAGGTCCGATTTCCATAATAATTTCTATAATTACTCCAGCTGCTGTGAGGAGAACGGCCAGTAGGGGGCGCTAGATGATCAAGGCTGATAGTAGGAGCGGTGGGAGCCAGGCCGCTGGGCCAAGAGTTTGTTCCTCCTCAGCTCAGGGGGGGGAGGAGCGGGTTTGCACCCCAGGTGTTTTTGCACCCCAGGTTTTCGGAGGGTAGACTTGAGGGCCGGGTGGGGCCCGGGTCACACAGCAGCACGCCAGGGAGGGCCGTTTTGCCGGGTGCCCCCTGGAACCAGGGAAGTGGGTTCTTGCTGCTGGAGAACAGCTTTGGAGCCAACACCTCTCCCCTTCCTCACAGCGGGGTGGGATCGGGCCAGGTCTCTGCTGGGGTTGAAGTCCTGCTGTCCAAAAAGAATATGCAAACCTCGGAGCGTTCCATTTTCTAGTTCCCATATTTTTAAAGGAGGGAGGACAGGTGACATTTTTAATGATATCCCTTATTTTGCTCACTGCATACAAGTTGGCCTTTTTACAAACAAGATTGATTTCTTGATTTGCAAGGTAGAGTGACATGGGCGGGGGGACGAGGGGAAAGAGATTTTGCATCCACTGGTTCACTCCCCCAAATGGTCACAATGGCCAGGGCTGAGCCATGTGAAGCCAGGAGCCAGGAGCTTCATCCAGGTCTCCCATGTGGGTGCAGGGGCCCAAGGACTTGGGCCATCTGCTGCTGCTTTCCCAGGCTGTTAGCAGGGGGCTGGATCAGAAGTGGAGCAGCCGGGACTTGAACCAGCACTCATATAGGATGCCGGCGTTGCAGGCACCAGAGCGTCAGCCCCTCTTTTCCCGTTTTTCATACTTAGTCGTTGGAGCCCGCGTGTGTGTGACCCTCACAGCCAGTCTCAGTTGAGATCCACGTTGGAGTGGCCCCTGGCAGGTGTGCCTCCTGTCCTGGGCGGTGCAGGTTTCTAGCCTGGAGTCCATTGCCAGACTGCCTGAGTCCCCGGCCAAGCTCTGCCCCTTGAGCTGTGTGTCCCGGGGCACAAGGTGGAGAGGGATCGTGCTAACACCCAGGGCTGTTGTTGGGTTTGAAACAAAACAAAACAGAAACCTCCGTGGGTGCTGGTCTCAGCTCTGGCCACAAGGGGTCGCCGTGGCCACGCGTGTGCATCAGGTGGCCGTTCTGCGCAGTCACGTTCCTCCGCAGCCCAGACCTGAGTCAGCGCCTTCCTCCTGCCTCCCAGCCTGGGTGAGAAAGGTGGGCAGACCCCGGGGAGATGCTGCAAACCCTCCCTGACCCCCGGACCCCCACAAGTGTTTATTAAGGGTGGGATGTGTGACAGCAGTGAACAAGACAGAGAAAAAAGGCCAAGTCGCATTTCCAGCGTGTCGTGATAAGCAGGGGATGGGAGGCGTGTCCCACGTACTAGGTAGGCTGGATGAGAGAGGCCTGGGGGAGAGAAGACCTCCACAGCCGGAAGACGGGAAGAGCATCCCGGGTGTCAGGCTGATTCTTGGGCTCCGGCAGAGGTGTGGGACGGGTCAGCCCCTTTCTTCACGCCAAAAGCATTTCCCGGTCCTCCCAGGAGCCGGGCCCTGCGCGGAGCAGTGGGGAAACAGCTGAGTCAGTGCACGGCCCTGCCCTCAGTGGGCTCCCTGTCGGAGGCACCTGCTTGCCCAGACAGAGGCCTGTGTGCGGCGTGAGGCTTAGGAAGGGCAGAGGTGGGGCACCTAACTCGGCGTGTGCGTCACGGGGCACTTCCTGGAGGAGGTCGTGTTTGAACCAAGACCCAGAGGTGAGTAAGGATGAGTGTGAGAGGCGCAGAGGCCGGCTTGCAGGTGGAGAGCGCCTGGCCTGCAGGGAATTTCTGTAGACGCCGAGGGTCCCACTGGCCGTGATGGCTGCTCCCTGGGGAGGGCTCGGAGCAGACAGGGCTGGCTCCAGGAGTCAGATCCCTCTGGGAGCTTGAAGGCTTTGGCAAACAGAAGGTGTCCCATAGCCAGGCAGGAGTCTGTGGTAAACAGAAGGCATCCCATAGCCAGGCAGGAGATTTGGTAAACAGAAGGCGTCCATAGCCGGGCAGGAGTCCCTGCCATCATGGCGGGCAGACTTCTGCAGAGGTCCCTGGCCCTGGTAAGCCCTCCCCTACATAAACCTGAGGGACCTCGAGTTCTCACTGAACGCTGTGGTCTGTGAGACCCCTCGTCTCTCCCCTGGGGTAGGAAGCACTCATCTCCCCGAGGATCTGGAGGCAGAATTAGAAAGACGGGCTCCCCCGTCTCCCACTGAGTGACTGCAGACCACTGTCAGGGCCAACGAGGCGCTGCCTTCGATGCTGAGATGCTGGGGAGAATCGGCTGCAGGATGGTCTCCCCCGGTCTGGTGTGTTTTCATAAAGCTCCCGCCCATGCCAGGTCCCAGACGGCGCGGGGGTCCAGCCGTGAATGGGGTAGATGAGAACCAGCCATCGTGAGGCCCCAGAACCCGTGAGAGAGCCCCTGCCTCTTCCCACGTTGTGTCCAGCGCAGATGCAGGTAAGGTGGGTGGCGATCCCTGCCCTGTCAGCATTTATACTTGAGCTGTGTGGGACAGACGACATACAAGACCAAGAAAATAAATAAAACATGAGGAAAGCCCAACGGTGATAAGTGCCATTGAGAGGAAAAGAAAAAAAAACCAGAGCAACAACAAACAAGGGTGCAAACACGTAAAGCAATTACAGATTAAAATAAGGCAGAGGAAGGAAACCACCGAAGGCTATGAGAGAGAGAAACTGGAAGAGAGGGTTCAATCAGGGAGGGAGCCTCGGCTGAGGCTTGAAGAACGCCCGTGGGAAGAATGGCAGGTGGGGAGGGAGTGCCAGGCTGAGGGAGCAGCAATGGCCAGAGCCCTGTGGAGGGCCCTAATGTTGTAGAGAAAGGCGAGGAAGCACGGTACGTGACGGACAAGAGCCAGAGGCTGGCTGGCTTGGAGCGTTCCGGTCTCGCTACAGGATCCAGCTTCACGCTCTGAGACGATGCTGGCTCGGGGCGGGAGGGAGGCACTGAGGCTCCAGTTTGGATGCTGTGGCACCTGGGCAGGTGAGAGAGGAGAGTGGCTCTGGATGAGGGTGACTGAGAGGACCGAGGTGACCGCTGACCTCTCCCAGCGTCTGACCTGAGCAGCCAGGGAGAGGATGCTGATCAGGGCTGATGGTGCAGTTACGTGAGGTTTTGGATGTAATGGGCTAGAAAAAGCATCGGGACCCAGTGGAAGACAAACGTGAGGTCCACAAGCCTGGACCGTGTGCCTGGGACACCAGGTTGGTAGTTGGATGATACGGGTTTTTTGTTTTGTTTTTAAGATTTATTTATTTAATTGGAAAGCAGAGTTACAGAGAGGCGGGACAGGGGTCGGGGGTGAAAGGGGGAGAGAGGCCGGCGCCGTGGCTCACTAGGCTAATTCTCCACCCGCACACCGGGTTCTAGTCCCGGTCAGGGCGCCGGATTCTGTCCCGGTTGCCCCTCTTCCAGGCCAGCTCTCTGCTGTGGCCCGGGAGTGCAGTGGAGGATGGCCCAAGTACCTGGTTCCTGCCATTGGATCAGCGCAGTGCGCCGGCCACAGCGCGCCGGCTGCGGCGGCCATTGGAGGGTGAACCAACAGCAAAGGAAGACCTTTCTCTATGTCTCTCTCTCTCTCACTGTCCATTCTGCCTGTCAAAAAAATAAAAATAAAAAAAAAGAAAGGGGGAGAGAGAGAGAGAAGTCTTCCATCTGCTGGTTCATTCCTCAAAGGGCTGCAACAGCCAGAGCTGTACCGATCCAAAGCCAGGAGCCAGGAGCTTCCTCTAGATCTCCAGGTGCAGGGGCCCAAGGACTTAGACCATAGCAGAGAGCTGGATTGGAAGAGGAGCAGCCAGGACTCGAACCAGCACACATATGGGATGCCTACTACTCCACAGCACTGGCCCCATCGGTTTTTGGGGGCTGGGTGATGGCTGCCCCGATGCTGAGCCAGCAGGAGTTCAGGTGCACACCCACTGTCCTGGAGGGTGGGGACCCATCAGAGGAGGAGACAAACAGAGCTCTGCCCCCGCCCCGCCCCGCACCCCGGCTGGCATCGCTGTGTCTGGCGCCAGGTGTGCTGGGTTGGAG